ACACGGGCCAGACGACGAGCGCAGTCAAATGGGACCAGCGCGGCGCGGCGGTGACTGCTTGTTGGCCGGGCTCCTCTGAAAGTGGAGGGGGGTGCGGCCCGCTCTCGCAGCTGACTACGTGCACCGTTTTGGCTACTTGCGAGCGACGTACAGAAAACGCCATCGCTTCTCGGCCTTTTGGCTAAGATCAAAGTGTAGTATCTGTTCTTATCAGCTTAATATCTGGTACATACCGCATTGCGGTATCAGTATATTAAACTGATTTTTGGAACTCGGTGGAGTGTTCGGTGCTTGCACCACCTCCGCCACGGGTTGTCCGGGCATTGCAGTGCCGCCCGGTTCGGCCCACCATAATAAACATATTGTCTCACCTTCTCTCTTGATTCTAATGCCTTGACGGCGTCGCCGTTGGGAAAATTTGACTCTGTTTTTGTTTTTGACTGTTAACAGGAAATCGGTTCGAAATGGTTCAACGACCCGCACGGCCCGGGACTTGGTCGCGTCGGCCGCAGCAAGGCGACGACGGCTGCCTGTCGTGGACGCAAGGGAAACCCCGGCCCGTGACGTCCGAGTGTCGCACTTACTAACACTTGTGTTTCTTTTCCAGACCCCCCGAGTACGCCGGGTTGCCTACCCTCAACTTTTGAACGCGCGCGGCAAGTGAACGGTTCGAGATATCGACTTGCGGACTTCGCCGTTCGCCTCGGCTCGTCGCGGCGGTGAGAATCGACTCGTCACATGACTCTCTACGTCACGGTAAGCGGGTGGAGAAACCTCCTTCAGAACCTTGTAGATATAAACCGCGCGCGCGGTACTTTGCCACTTCGCGTCGGAGCGCTCTGCGAGTGTGTGCGTGTGTGAGAGGGAAAAAGGGTAGGTATACGATAGTCTTTGCGTCAGTTCTCCTTTCGGAAAATGATTTGTGGTCCTTAAAAGGACCGTTTTTGTTCCAGCAGACTCGCCACCAAAAGAGGTCTTGAGTTTACTTGGAGGAGGTGTACTTGGTCACAGCCTTGGTGCCTTCAGACACGGCGTGCTTGGCCAATTCACCGGGCAGGAGGAGACGGACAGCCGTCTGGATCTCCCGGGAGGTGATGGTGGAGCGCTTGTTGTAGTGCGCCAAGCGGCTGGCCTCAGCGGCGATCCTCTCGAAGATGTCGTTCACGAAGGAGTTCATGATGGACATGGCCTTGGAGGAGATTCCGGTGTCGGGGTGCACTTGCTTAAGAACTTTGTAGATGTAAATTGCGTAAGATTCCTTCCTCTTGCGCTTCTTCTTCTTGTCTCCCTTGGAGATATTCTTCTGGGCTTTCCCAGCCTTCTTGGCGGCCTTTCCGGAAGTTTTGGGCGGCATGGTGCGTAGATGCGTGCGGAGCGAGGACTCAGACGACAGTACCGGTCACCACGCCCGACCGAGCCTATTTATGTTATCGAGGTGTGCTGCGGCCGCGCGCACGGAGCACACCACCGGCGAGCGCACCCCCCTCCACCCCTAAAACCGACCAATCGCGTGGCGCGCCGCTCGCCGCCTGCCGCTCGGCCGCGCGCACAGAGCACACCAAGATATTATAAAAGCGTAGGTCACGCTGTTCGCAGGCATCCACGTCGTACCGTTCCGCAGTAGCGCGCGTACCGTCACCCTCATCTCTCAACATGTCTGGCCGCGGCAAAGGAGGCAAGGTCAAGGGAAAGTCCAAGTCCCGCTCGTCTCGTGCAGGACTTCAGTTCCCCGTCGGACGTATCCACCGTCTTCTCCGCAAAGGAAACTACGCTGAACGTGTCGGTGCAGGAGCACCCGTATATCTGGCCGCCGTCATGGAGTATCTTGCCGCTGAGGTTCTCGAGTTGGCCGGTAACGCCGCCCGTGACAACAAGAAGACCCGTATCATCCCCCGTCACCTGCAGCTCGCCATCAGGAACGACGAGGAGTTGAACAAACTTCTGTCCGGCGTCACCATCGCCCAGGGAGGTGTTCTGCCCAACATCCAGGCTGTGCTCCTGCCCAAGAAGACTGAAAAGAAGGCTTAAGTCTCTTGAGCACTCTCCTTTCAGGCAGTATCGTTCAGTCGAAACTGCGCAAAAAGGTCCTTTTAAGGACCACAACTCGTATCCCGAGAGGATAACTGACGCAAAGACTATCGTAACCCTTTCCCTATCTCACACACAACTCTCTGAGAGAGCCACACACACTCGTTTTGTACCGCGAAGCCCGTGAGCCACGTACACGGGTACCCGTTCCGCGTTAAGACACGCTTGAACAGCCCGAGTACTGTGGGGCACGAACTCGTACCACCGTGGTTGCCTTTCGGTTAGGCCAGAGCCCCATAACACACTGTCCAAAGGGCGTGACTCTGCGTCAAGCCGTCTCGAAGCTTTAACCGATTGAAATCAGGCACCTTAAGGCACCTTAAGGCACCTTAAGGTACCTTAAAGGTCGCTTAAGCGGCCCGAGTAAGCCACAAGTGCCGGCGCGCACCAACGTGACCGTCTTACGATAGGGACGGTGCCACGTGACACACTGTCCAAAGGGCGTGACCCTGCGTCCAGCCGTCTCGAAGCTTTAACCGATTGAAACCATGTTAAGGGACCTTAAAGCACGCTTAAGCAGTCCGAGTGTTCTGGGGCACAGGCGCGCATCACTGCGAGTGTCTTGTGGTCAGGGCAGTGCCCTCAAACACACCGGCCAAGGGGCTCGACCCTAGGTGAAGCCACGTCAAAGCTTTAACCGATTTAAACCTTGCTTAAGGTACTTTAAGGCACTTTAAGGCACGCTCAAGCAGCCCGAGTGCCCTGGAGCGCCGGTAAGTACCATCGTGAGTGTCTTGCGGTCGAGGCAGTGCCTCTCAACAATTCGGCCAAAGGGCGTGACCCTACGTCGAGCCACGTCGAAGCTTTAACGGAATTAGACCATGCTTAAGGTACCTTAAAGCACCGCGCGCGTCAATATCGCGTCCGCGTCGACGGATCGGTCTGACTTGCGCGTTTCCGCCCGTTCTAGAGTCACACAAGTAACACGCAAAAGTTTAACCGCGATCTGACGTCCCGAAGTCGAGATACGCCCGACTATCTGGCAGCCGTCATGGAAAACACACTGACGAAGGATTAGCGGCCGGCCGTGGCGGGTTGCCTACCTACCCGAGTCGGCTCCCCGGGAGCCGTAAGGGTACATCTACAGCAAAAAACCGATCGACACAGCGCAGCGCATGTGGATTTCGTGTGTGTGTGAGGGAAAAGGGAAACGATAGTTAGTCTTTGCGTAAGTCATCCTCTCGGGATAGGAATTTTGGTCCTTAAAAGGACCGTTTTGATGGTTCCCCGGAGGGAGGACGACGGACAGAGGCTTAACCTCCGAAACCGTACAGGGTGCGTCCTTGACGCTTGAGGGCGTAGACGACGTCCATGGCAGTGACGGTCTTCCTCTTGGCGTGCTCGGTGTAGGTGACGGCGTCACGGATGACGTTCTCAAGGAACACCTTGAGCACACCACGGGTCTCCTCGTAGATGAGACCGGAGATACGCTTGACTCCTCCACGACGAGCCAGACGACGGATGGCGGGCTTGGTGATACCCTGGATGTTGTCACGCAACACCTTACGGTGACGCTTGGCGCCTCCCTTGCCGAGCCCCTTTCCTCCTTTACCGCGACCAGTCATGATGCTGAGTAGACGATGTGGACTTCACTGACGACTCACGACGAATGCCTGAAACACGGTACTGGCCTATATTTATACCCTGCCGAGCCGGAGCGCGCCGACCAATCGGGGGAGCCGAGCGCGCTCCGAGTCGGCCGACCAATCGGCGCGCGCCTCACCGCCGAGCGGCAGCCTCGCGCACCCTACAAATACAGGTCATTTTCCGTGCGCCGGCATCAGTTCGTCGTCGTCAGTCGTCCGAGCAAGTTCGCTATCATGGCCCGTACCAAGCAGACCGCCAGGAAGTCCACCGGAGGCAAGGCGCCTAGGAAGCAGCTCGCTACCAAGGCTGCCCGCAAGTCCGCCCCGGCCACCGGAGGTGTCAAGAAGCCCCATCGTTACCGCCCCGGTACCGTCGCTCTTCGTGAGATCCGTCGTTACCAGAAGAGCACTGAGCTTCTGATCAGGAAGCTCCCCTTCCAGCGCCTTGTTCGAGAAATTGCGCAGGACTTCAAAACCGATTTGAGATTCCAATCCAGCGCCGTCATGGCCCTGCAGGAGGCGTCCGAGGCCTACCTGGTTGGTCTCTTTGAGGACACCAACTTGTGCGCCATCCACGCCAAGCGCGTCACCATCATGCCCAAGGACATCCAGCTTGCCCGCCGCATCCGCGGAGAGCGTGCTTAAGTCTTTTCCGAACCCCTTCGGGAGAGCAAACAAATCGGCCCTTTTAAGGGCCAAAATTTCTATCCCGAGAGGATAACTTACGCAAAGACTATCGCCACCCATCCCTAAAGCCCCATCACGCACAATCAATCACAGAAAGATAGACGCGAGAGAGAGAGTCCGCGTACGCGAGTTGCGCTTAAGACCCGCCCTAAGGGCGGGTGTCTTAACGACGACCGTACTCGTACTCGACGCGCACACATACACACCGCTTCAATCGCTCGTCTCGGTTGCATGCTTTAAAGCCTTTGACGTCCTCGACGCGTACAGATTCACGCCAAGTCAATCATTCGCCTAGGTTCGATGCTTTAAAGCCTCTCGCGCGACACGCTGCACCGCCGCTGCGCTTAACCCCTTTAAGGCCTCCGGGCGGGCCGAACGAATGAATGCGTGTACTGCGTGTTGCCTACCCTCCGTTCCGCAGGCGCTCCCCGCACTGACAGCTCAACATCCGCGCGCGCGCGCGCCCGTGTGTGTGTGTGTGTGTGTGTGTGTGTGTGTGTTCGGGGGTGTGTGTGTGTGAGAGTGAGAGGACAACAGGGTTTACTATCATT